CCTTGGGCAAGCTGCTTCATCTTGCTGTGCCTCAGTTTCCCTTCAGCTTTGCTTTTCCCAGATAGACTGGCAGCCTCTCCCCGTGTATGTGCAGCGCCCAGGACAATGAGGCGCTGATCTCAACCGGCACTGCCGGAGTACAAATAAAAAAACAGCACTGTAGGATTGCCCCTGTATGAGCGACCCAGACGTTGCCGGGTATGAATTAACCATCGTATCCCAGATGTGGGCCCCACAGAGCTGCTTTCAGCGAGGGCAGGGGGGAAAAGATCCAGGGGCTGGGAGAGAACAGCAGCTCCAGTAGGATGCAGAGCAGATGTTGCATTTCAGAGCCCCATGCACCCGGGGGATTTGCTTTAACAAAAATTAGCAGCTGGGCCAAACAAATGATTCGGCAAATCCCCAGTACAGACCGCACAGACGCAGGTGAGATGACATTTCATGACGGTGCTGAATTGCACCCAGGTAATGGAGACACCCAGCCCTGCCCTCCCTGCTGGCACAGCGTTGCTGGGACGCAGACCCCGGGCAGAGTTTGGGGAGGGAGGTTCTGTATCAGGGCACCAGTGCAGCCCCCAGCCAGAAGGAGGTGGGGACACCCCAGTGCACACAGCTGCACTCTTGCCTTTTGTGGCGTGGACTGCACGGGTGCCGGGGCGTGCCCGCGGCTTCCTGCTCCATGGGCAGGTTCTAGGCACGTCTCTCACTCCGGAGCCTGAATTCCATCCCCGGGAGTCCGGTGCTTTGATCTACCTCTGGCTGCCCCCCAGTCCCCGCTTGCCATAGTGTCTGAGCACCTCAGTATTCAGCCTCACAACCCCCGCCCCCCGACCTGTGAGGCAGGGCACTGCCCTTAATTATTTTATAGACAGGGACCTGAGGCCCAGAGAGACTCACTCAGGGTCCCCCCCAGAGTCTGTGGGAGAACCAGGAACTGAACCCACACCCAGGTGAGCCCCCCAACCACTGGGCCATACTTCTATTCACACACGTCCTTACCTCTGGTAAATCCCACCATGTTTCGGTGGTGGGAGACAATCTCCCCTCGCTGCTTGGGAGCCACATTCTGAAGCCCATCTAGGGTCTTCTGCCCCGTGGCAGCGTGGACTCTAGCCTCCCTCGGGACACTCCTGCAGGGCAGCTCGCAGCCGGGCCGCTCGCAGCCGGGCCACCGCTCTGCCCAGGAGCGCGTCTCTGTTCCAGTCACAGAGCACGTTCTCTAGTCTGGGGCAGCAGGGGTCCGGGCAAGGGGAGGATAAGAGGGTAAAGCAATGAACTGAAATGCACGCTGTATCCCCCGCCCCAGGAACGGACATCGGGGAATCAATAACAGAGACATACCTGGCACCTACCGGGCTGCTGGCCGAGTGACGTTTACACAGTTAGCACCAGGGGCCCCTACGACGCACCACGGACTATTCCCTGGCCTCCCAAACCCCACAGCAGCAAAGAGAAACCTTTACCTTGGCCCTAACCAGTCATCTAGGCCTCAGCTAGCCAAGGCAATGTGTGGAGCCCAAAAAGGGTCATGCCGTAGGGTCCAGTGGACAGCAGGAGAAAACGAATTCCAACTTACTGAGGATGCTGTCAGGGGCGCCTACAAACTCCCCCATTAGGGGGAGACACCACCTGACAGTGGTACTGTCACTCCCCTGAACCAGCCCCCACCCCCTTGGCAGGTTGTCCCACCAACTTGGAAAGGATTAAGTGGGCTCTGCTGTCTGCCTGAGGGCAGTGGGTCATGATCCCACCCAGGTGTAGGGCAAGTGGGAGGAGCTGGCTGGAGAGGGAGGATCTAGGGTGTGGGCTGAGCAGGGTGGGTGGAGGAGCCCGATCCGAGGAGACAGTCCGAGCTGGACTTTATCTCGTTGCTTTCTGTGTTGAAAGCAGGGAAGGGATGCTGGGCTGGAGGGGCATGGGGAGGCTGGGGCAGAGGCTGTTATTTCAACTTGGGGAGGGGGCAGAAGACAATATTCCCAAGGCCCACAGCTGACTTCTTGCCTGTAGAGCCTGGACTATGTTTTCAGAGCAGGCTGGGAAAGATTCCTGCTGGCTCGCTGGGTGACCCAGAGTTAGCAAAGTGTGCATGGAGACCCGGACGAGACCCTGGTTCACCCAGGTCCTTACAGGTGCCCATTACTGTGGTATCTGAGAGCCTAGGGTACCGTCCTTTTGCCATGGCAGAGGCCTGTGGCTCTCAGAGCAGCTCACTGGCTGGGGCCGATGCTGCTCTGACGCAGCCTATTAACATCGATCCAAACCGTCTGAAGGAAAAACAGATGGGGGGGAAAAAAGAAGAGAAATGGCCCTTATTAAACTAAAAGCATCATCTAAGTGAGCTGGCATGAGACAGGAGCTTGGCCCGGACACTCGCACTCTGAATCAAATGCTCTTGCTTCTGGTTTATGAAACAGGTCCACCATTGCAGGGTGGGCAGATGGGTCGAGGCTCAGCTGTGCCTGCAGGAGGTTTGGGCACATCTGCACCCCCAGCTCAGTGAAAGGGGGCAAGGCAGCCACCTCTCCCGCATCCTCTGCACACACACCCCCGTTCACTGAAGGGGGGATAAGGGGAGCATCCTCCCTGCCCCCCCCATCCTCCCTTTCCTTCCCTGCTGTAGGTCAGTTTGGTCGCCTGACAAATCACAGAGGCCCCTGGCACAGCTGGGCCCCAATACACAGGAACCAGCCCACTCCTTGCGGTGCAGCAAGGCAAGGAACCCTCCCCCCTGCTTAAGCCTGCTTGGCCAAGCCGAGCTGCCCGGGCCAGCAGGAGCGAAGGGAGAGGAGCCAGAAGCCCCCGGTGCCAAGTGGCAGAGGGGGAGCTGTTGAGAGCGAAGCATACCAGGGGCTGGGCTCGGCTACTAGGATTGCCAGCTCCGAGGCTCTGGCTACTGGGAAGGCCAGGGTCTTATCTGCCCCTGTCCAGGTGAGCTGTTCATGCAGGTGTCAGGCCCCCATCATTCAGACAGCAGAAGGCAAGGCAGGGAGCAGGTCTGAATCGGGGCTTTTTGATTCTTTACAGCCTCTGGGGGCTCAGCGCAAGGTGACGGCTGAATAGGGTGACCAGATGTTCTGATTTTATAGGGACAGTCCCACTATTTGGGAATTTTTCTTATAGAGGCACCTCTTACCCCCCAGCCCCTATCCCCATTTTTCACACTTTCTAGCTGGTCACCCCATGGCTGAAGCAGCCCCCGTGAGAGGGAAGGCACAGCAGAGATTTCCCAGATCCGTGCTACGGTGGGGCAGGCGTTTGCACCCAGAGATGGTGCCGAGAAGCTCTAGAAACGGAGAGAGATGGAGACCTTGGATCCCCTGCAACTCCTGTTTCAGCCCCCACCCAGTGTGGATTTCATTCCCCAGGAATGGTAGGAGAACCTGTCTCTCCTTTGGGGCAGGGGGGAGTCAGGAGCAGGCCAGGGAGATCAGCACTGGAGTGGTGTAGCCTCCTCTTAAACCCACCCGGCAGGGCCAGGCAGCCCATGCTGAAAGCACAACTCCCATGGCGGAGGGTCGGGGGGTGGCAAGAGGTGGGTTATGGGCGCAACTCCCTGAGTTAAGACCCTGGACTTACTCTGAAAAATGGACACAGCCCTAGTATTTCATTGCAGCAACTGGCTCCTAGTCACTTATCTTGAAGCTGGCAGGGAAGAGAGAAACTGCAGGAAGGTATCAGAGTAACAGCCGTGTTAGTCCGGTATTCGCAAAAGAAAAGGAGGACTTGGGGCACCTTAGAGACTAACCAATTTATTTGAGCATGAGCTTTCGTGAGCTACAGCTCACTTCATCGGATGTGATCACTCACTTCATAAGCTCACGAAAGCTCATGCTCAAATAAATTGGTAAGTCTCTAAGGTGCCACAAGTCCTCCTTTTCTTTTTGCAGGAAGGTAGGGGCAGTTAGAGGTCCACTAGAAACAAGTTGCCATTTAATTTGTGAAAGGGGAGAGTGGTGGGGGCCTCACTCTAGAGTGCCGCATCGGTGAACATCTCTGCCTCAGTTTCCCCTAGTGGGCTGCAATAAGGCTTACGTATATTGAGCAGTGCCCCTTCCGGGATCTACATCATTCTACCCCGAGATGGAACATCACACAGAGGCCTCCATCCCAGCCTCTCTAGCTGGAGGGGTCAGGGGCTGAGTCAGCCTTAGTCCAACAGGCCTGGTTATGTCCTCTGGGAACCTGGGGCCCTTTTCTCAGCACTAGCTGGGGAAGGGTCTCTCCTCCTGAGTCAAGGCCCCGCACCGAGGCTGATCTGCAAGGACCCCTCTTCAGGACAGCTTCTAATTCCCCTAAGCTAGGGCTTCTGCTGCGGCCTGCTGAAGTCTCTCTCGGGATCCAAGTTTCTCTGCAACTTGCTTTTCAGTCTGGAACCTGTCCCACCCATGAGCGTCCTTCCTCTGTGTCCTTTGCTGGCGAGTCCCCCTCAGCAGCTTCCTCTTGAGAAGCCGGCTGTGGTGGAGATCTCTCTTTCATTGCTCTGGGGTCCTTTCTCTCCCCACACTGGGAACTGCTGCCTTGTACCATGCCCAGGTGCGCCCCTGCTTAATTAGCTGCCTCCCAGGGAGTTAATTAGCCCCAAGTGAAGCTAGGTTGCCTCACTCCCTCTTGTGGAGCCTGTCAAAGGGGAGCTGAGCCCCTGAGCTGGTCAGAGGACTGGCTGCAAAAAGCTCTGTCCTTAAGGGAGCGTGGTCTAGTGGGTAGAGCAGGGGACTGGAGTCAGGACTTCTGGGTTCTAGACCAAGCTCTGAGAGGGAGTGTGGTCCAATAGCAGGTTAAAGCAGGGCACAAGAAATCAGAGACAAACTTCTTGAGTGACCGTGCGCAAGTTACTTCCCTGCCTCTGTGCCTCAGTTTCCCCATTTGTGAAATAGGGATACTACTACACACACACCCCCGCCACTGGGGAGTGGGTTGTTATGAGGCTTAACCAATTACCAGGGTGCTTTGAGATCCCTGGTTAGACAGCGCTACAGAAAGACTTGAAGAACCCAAGTACGTATCACTATAAAAACAATTTTTATGTTAAAAAACCCCCAAATCAAACCAAACGCCACAACACGATACAAAAGGAGACAGAGTCCAAAGGCAAATTCCCAAGAAAACGGTCTGAGAACAAAAGGAACTGGAGCCAGAATGATAAAAAATAACCTCCCAGGCTGGGGACTAGTTTGACTCAGCGGCTCTGCCGTAAGCAACTGCATCCATGTAGCACCCAATGCACCTCCCACAAAGGGTTAATCTCATGCCCTGAAATAGTCCACCAACCTTGGAGCAGGGTTGTCACCCCCCTCCCGATAAAACACTCTGCTTGGCCAGAAAGGGGGAAGACTACAAGCTTCTTCCATCCCTCCTGTGCACTAAACGAGCCAGCTGAAGAGTTGGGGGTTGGGGAGAGGACTAGGGCTTCCAAGAGGCCTCGGTGTCCTGCTGGCTCAGGCTCTGTGACGGTCAGTCCCAGATTTGGCACCGGTGGGAACTTCCAACCCTGCCCCTCAGCCAGCCGGTTTAGTGCAGAGGATTCAGGGACAAGCAGCAGCATCTCCACTCGGGGAGGGGGAGAGAGACGCAGCGTCCCCTCCCCCACTCCAGTGTGTTAGGAGACAAAAGCAGCACTTGCTGCTCGGTCCACGCACCATGGCAGAGTAAGAACAAGGGGAAGAGAAGGGTGGTATCCCCTGGATCTACCTCCCTTCTCCCCACAACCTGGTAACACTTCCCTTTAGTATCTTCACTGGCAACTGTCCAAGTCCTGGTTTGGTCTCCCCCACGGCCAGTGCCCAGAACAACGCTGAGATCCCACTGCCCTTCCCCTGCATACACCGACGCATGCAGACAGAGGTGTGTGAAAACAGACACGCGGGACTACATGTACAATGCCTGTCTGATGGCACCTGGTGTCCTGCCTACGTGTGCTCGTCTGTTGTGCGTCGGAGTCCGCGTGTGGATGCCTGTTTGCTCGGCCTGTGCTGTGGATTTCCACGGGAGGTGGCCCGGCCACGTGGACTGCCTGGCTCACACGTCTGTGGGCACCAACACCCGGGGGCCTAGCCGCCTCCCCGCCAAGAGCTCTGCAGGGCTGGGCGGAGCGAGCGCTCATTTGGCTGACTTAGTGATGATGCGGGCAGAGAAGTCAAAGAGGTTCTTATTGATCTTCCTGAGCGTGCTGACTTCGTCCTCCAGCTCAGTCACTTGGATCTTCAGCTGCTCCTGGTCTCCCATCAGGTTCTGCAGGGAGAGGGGGGCAGAGATGGCTTGGAGGAGGGGTCTCGACTCCCCAGGCCTGAGAGGGGAAGAACTAGCAAGACAAAGTAACCAGGGTCTCCCCAAGATGACAGTAACCCCGCAAACCTCTTATTTTCTACCCCTCATCCCGAGTCACCCCCTAACCTTGTGCTGGGAGGGTTCCCAAGTTTTGGGGAACGTGTTTAACCCTTAGAAGCCTAGAAGCCTTAGGGAGCACCCCATGCGCCTGGCATAGCTGGAAGGAGGTACCCCCCATTTCATACCACCCTCCACTGCCATCCCTCGCCAAGCCCTGCTGGGGCCCCCAGGGGGGGTGCGTGGGACTCACCTTTTCCCTTGTCGAGCACATCTGCGAGTAGAACCGTTCAGCCTTTTCCAAGTAGCTCTCCCCAGCCCCCTGCAAGGAAACACATTGGAGGGGTCGGTGAGGCGGCTCCGGGCCCTCTCACAATGACCCCATTGTCTTACCGTCCCCCAAACCCACTGCAGTGCCCAGAGAAGGTCCCCGCATCACTGACACCTGGCTGAGACCGATGGGCTCATCGGAGACCTCGCGCACACGGGCTGCGGCCACAATTCTCATCTCTGAGCTGGCAACACAGACACAAGCTCTCTCCTCTCGCTCTGCCGCCGGCTGAACAATGCCCACTCCCCCTTCTCCCCGCCCCATTCCCCTTGGTACATCCCCGAGACGAGAAGCAGCATGGTGCTGCAGACTCTCAGAGAGGAGGGGGGTGCGCGCATGCGAGCCATGCTAACCCCGTATCCCTGCCACGCACCATCCTCCGCAGACAGCGGGTGGCAAACCATGCAGGGAGCCCCGGGTCCACACAGATGGCCCCAGGGAGGGGCCACAAACAGCAGCGTTACTATCCCTCTAGATCTCACTTCGGGCAGCAGGGACTTTTCCCTCCTTGTACTCAGTGGCCCCTTCGCTCCTTCCCAGGTGCGGAGTCCTCCATTTCCTGGTCCCCCCTTCTGTTCCCTGGGGGCTGGCGGCTCCCAACTCCTTCCAGATTGTGCTCTGGAGCCTGGCTACACGGCTACTTGCAGGCCAGGGAGAAGCCCGGAGTCAGATTTACACACCGCTCTCCTGTCCAGCACGAGAACTGCCCTTCCCCCCGCAGAACGACTGGGGAGGCGGTTTAAGGTCAGAGAGCTCAGATGCAGTTTGCGACAGCAAACCCCAGTGACACAGTGGAGCCGGGAGACATCGGCAGGGGGAAAGGGGTAGGCAATTGCCTACTGGTTACAGCAAGGGATTTCCCAGCTCTGCCACGGACTTGCTGCGTGACCTTGGGCTAGTCCCGAGCAGCCTGGTTTGCAAAGGTGCTCAGTTGACTTCCCTGGGCGCCAGGCCCCCACTGTCTCCGAAAGGCAGGCTGCATGCCTCAGGTCACCGGTCTCCACAGGGCAGTGGCGCAGGGGAAGAGCTAAGGAGCGGCTGCGGAGGGCGATTACAACCGGGCAGGAGCTTGCCTTTGCCGAGCAGAGCTGCAGGGGATGCAGCATCTAGCCCTGACCCCGGCTCCTCTGCGTGTGCGCGCGGGGCTGCAGCAGGGACAGCCTGTCAGGTAAGAGGTGCTGTCCTATTGTAGGACGAGACAGATGTCTCCAGCCCAGCAGGGCTCGCGTTGCTCCCCGCTGCCTGAATGAACACACACAGGGGGTGGGCTGGGCTGCCGGGGAGAGAGGTAAGAACAGGGGCAGGGGTGCAAAGGGGGCACATAATGAGCCTGACCCGTTACTAATATACATCCCTACAGCGCTGCGTGCGTCCCCCAGGCGGGCGCCAATCCCCGTCGTCACTGGAGCATGACCACGCCCAGCGTGACCCTCCCCGCGCGACAGTGGAAAGTAGGAAGGACAGATTACTGCCAGCGATGAGAGCGCCCCCTACAGCACAGCACCTCCGCGCGCTCTGCTGGGGCAGAGGGTCAGCGCTGATTTCAAAGGGGGATCCCGGCTGTCACCCCCACAGCTCCCAGCAACACAGCGCCCCCCAGTGCTAGGCTGAGGCACTGAGGTCAGCACAGACTCCAAGGGATGTGCCCCCCACCCTGCTCCCAGCAGCCCCGTGCCCCTCATGTGCTGGGCCACTGGGGCCAGTGCTGACAGAGGGAAGCCAACCCGTCACCACCCCGTCCTGCAGCACTTGGCATCACTCATGTGGTTACCGACCTGGCTTGATGCTGCTTTGGGGTGATCAGATGTCCCAGTTTTACAAGACAGTCCCAATATTTGGGGCTTTATCTTATATGGGTGTCCATTACCCCCACCCCATCCCGATTTGTCACCCTTGCTAGCTGCTCACCCACCCCTGTGTGATGAGCTTCAGGGATCGGATGAGGTCACCGCGGTGGCAGATTCCCACAGCACTACGGCTCCAGCGGGCGACCGTAACAAACTGGGGAGCAAGGATCTCTACCGCCCTTGGTGACGTGACTGTGCAGAGGTGTGGCTGGGGGTGGGGGGAAGAGGAAGGGGACCTACGCTGGCACTGCAGGGGTCTGGCACCTTCTCCTTCCCTCCTGTGTGCTGCTAAGCCCTGACACCCCAGGGTTTCACGGAACCTGAACCCTTCTAGCAGAAAGATAAGCAGGGAGCAGGCAACACAAACCATCCTCTACCCAGGCTGGACAGAGGCTCCGTAGCCCCCTGCATGACATGACAACGCAGCCCCAGCTGAGCCATAGCTCGTTCCTGGGTCCCTTTCCCTTTCCCACCTTCACCAGCAATTAGTTCACAGGAAGCTGGCATGGTGCTAATTAAGCCCTTTCTGTGGGCAGGAGAGAAAGATAAGGGTTCTCTAATTCCCCATCCCACGGAGACAGGAGGAGCTCCAGCTTCTCAGCCACAATCAGTTAATTAGAAAGCTCTTGAAAGCCAGCAGTTCGTTAGGACACCTGTGGACAGTAAAGAACCTTCAGCCAAGGTCTGCGTAAGACGAGGGGTGGGGCAGAGCAGCTGGGCTCCTTCATTCTGCATGAGAAAGGGGGCATCTCACAGGGCAGATTGATAGGAGCTCAGGGGCTTGTTCCTGGGACAAGCTGCCAGGTGCTACACCCCAAGTGCCCTGTCCCCCTGCCACTGCTCTAACCACTAGAAACTTACTCCCCTCCCCGAGCCATGGAGTCCTGACTCCCAGCCCCCTTAGCTCTAACCTCTAGATCAGCCTGATTTATCCCATGGCCAGTCCCAGGGGTGCTGGCCGTGACGTGGGGGGTTTGAGGCCGTTCCGATCCACTGTACAGGAGTATGGTATTCTGTAAACTGAGTGCCCATCAGGTCTCTCCGCCCACCTCTGCTGTGCCAGAACAAGCTACCACCCAATAGCATCAGCTCAGCTCGGACCAGCCACCTGCTTCTGCTCTGGCTAGAAGGATCAATATCCATGCCCCCCCACCCCAGCCCATTCCTCCCTCCCAGGCCAGACGCTGGTGCCGCTCGCTTCTACCTGCTGGTGGAGGCCGAGGCGCACCGTTACCCCCTCGGCTCGCTGATCCTCGCTGCTCTCGGTCCCGTGCAGGTGTTTGCTGAATTTGGGCAGCGGCACGCCAGGCTTGCTGTCTGGGTTAAACATGCTGGCTCGGGCCAGTGTGATGAAGGCGTTTGTCACCGGGCCTGGGGAGGAGGCAAAAGGAAGAGCCGGTCAAGTTTACACAGTGCAGATGCTCACAGGTCACCTGGGCGGCTCAGGAAACGAAAGGAAGGGCTGAGTGGCGGCCCGGATGCCTGGGTTCTCTTCCTGGCTCTGGCAGGGAGCATAGCCTTGGGCTTAGAGCAGCGGATCAAACCTGGGGAGCCACCTTAGTGACCCAAAGGCGCCAGACGCAGGACTCAGCGGGGCCTACTCGAGGCAACGCGTGGTGCAGTCCGAGGGGTGTTGGACGACCCCGCAGGGGGACAAAGCGGCCCCAGCCTGTTCACAAAGCCCAGGGAAGCACTCCAGTTGCAGAGGGGTTTGGCTCATTGAAAGGAGGCTGAAAGTGCTTGGGGACTCTCCTGCTCTGGGGAGAGAGCTGATGGGGTGACAGGACTTGCTGTGATGTGGGGAGGGGGTCTTGTGCCCCACAAAACAAGAGAAGAAAGCAGTGGGTGGCCTTTGTCTGGAACCAGAGTGTGTGCCAGGGAGAGGGACTCAGGCCTTAGCAGCTGAAGATTATGGGGTTACAGAAGCTCTACCCTCCAGTGTCAGCATTGCAGAAGACCCAGCTGGGGGTGGGGTGGGGGGGGGAGGGAAGAGTAGGAGGGGAAGGCTGGAGCCAGTAAGGGGTGCATGCAGCAGGGCAGGCTGGTGACCCTCCCCCCCCTGCACATGACCCCTGAACATCCACAGCAGTTTCACAAAGGAACCAGATTAGCTTCCAAAATCCGCCAGGACGCCAAGGAAAGTCCCGTCCCTCCCCCCCCCCCAGCAGACCAGATTTGCTTCCCTCTGCTGCTGCACATAGCAGGGCCGGACCTAGGGCCCCCTTCCGGGAGGGGGGTGAGGGGGGCAGCCCTGGCAGTCGCTATTTAAGAACCAAGCAACCTTCCAGGAGTCAGGGCCTCGCTAGGCCCCTGGAAAAGCTTGGATCTGAGAAGTTAAAGTCGTAAGACACTGGCTAGTGTCAATACTTTGGTTTGATGTACAATGTAGACACAGGACAAAGCCTGGACGCACTTTGGCCTGTCAGTAACTTGGGGACCCTGAAGATCGGGGTGGGGAGGAGGGTAAATGTCTCCTCCCCCCACCCCCACCCCCCATAGAGCCGGGCTTTGCAGGTGCAAGATCCCTCGGCATACAGGAAAGAGCACCTAGCCCCTCTCCCGCCATGGGCTCCGGAGCCCGGAGTGCAGCAGGTTGGCTGTCCTCTGCAGAGCGAGCCATCCATCACTGGGCTGCGTGACGCAGAGTTAACGAGCGCTGTAATTACTGCTTTTGCCCACACAGGTGACTGGTTTCCATCAGTCCTCCTGCCCCAATGCCCCCCCGCCCAACACACGCGCACAGTCACTGCATCCATCACCCAGGCAAACACCCTTCCAAATCCTGCCTCCACAGCCCGGAGGGCTCCCCTATGCACCGGAGTAGCAGGTGTGAGCAGCTGCAGCATCCAGACTCCGCTCACCTGGGGGTGGGGGTGGGGGGGGCAGGGGCACGTGCGGGGCCAGAACACCACAGCAGTAGCTAATAAAAAACAAGGTCTGTGCGGTCCCCCCCGTCACTGCTCCACACAGCTCGATAGCACCGGGCAGGCAGGGGGGGATTCAAGGAGGAGAGAGACGTTCCCAGCCGAGTGTGGCAGGCCAAAGGAATGAACGAAGGCAGCTGCGGATGGAAGGAAACGCAGAGGAGAAGGCTCTTGCGCCAACAAAGTGGCGGATGAGGAAGAGGCAGAGGGAACAAGGAGGGGAGCAGATCGAGACATGGCCCAGGAAGGTTCTTGCCAGTTTTGAAGTGGGTCCTGGACTGAACGCTACAGTGGGTCTCCCGCCCGGGGGAGGAGGGCTGAACATCCACCGGGGGCAGTACGATCATTGGGGGGTGGGATGTTGCTCCCCAGTGCCATCCCCAAACCCAGGCTGATCAGAACTCGCCATGGACTCTGGCCCAGCTCTCAGGGGGACACGGCCAGGACTGGCTCTAGGTACCGGGTGCCGGGGGACTGGGTAACTGGGGAGATGGTGTACCCAGCAGCGCTGTGGTCTAGACACAGCAGGAGAGTTAAAGGCTCCGCCTCTCAAGCTGGCCTCCCCGTGCCAAACGCTGCTCTCCAAAGCCACCCTCTGCCACGAAGATACTTTTTTAAAATGTTGCTCCCCCTGCAAGCTGACAAACTTTGAAAGCATCCATTAGAGAGATTAGCCCCGGGGTCCCCAGCAGGTCAGGCATCTTCACAGGAAGGCAATTAGCAAGGAGCGCCGAGAGACCACAAGTCCCCAGAGCCGTCATAAATGATCCCAACGCTCCGGCACTGTGCCCAGTCCCTGTTCCCTGCGCCAGAGTGCTGCAGAGCCTGGTACCCGCCGGTCCCCCTCGGCATGGGAGGAATAGGAGAATCCTTCCCAGAAGGATTTAGTAACCGACGTATCAGCTCTTGGCCAGCGAGCAGCTTCCTGCCAATGAGGCCACAGGAACTCGGTCGAGTAACAATAAACGAGATGACTTACCAGAACACTCCCTCAGACGTGCTAACAACCGGAGCCCCTAACCCAGTTCAGTCTCCCCCGAGTCCCCGCTCAGTGCTTTAGCCCCACCACCGCCCCCCTCCTCAGGTCTCAAAGTGCTTCACAAAGATGGAGCAGCACCATTTGCTCCATTTTACAGATGGGGAAACTGAGGCACTGGGTGGGAAAGTGACTCGTCCAGGATTGCACAGGGAGTCAGTGGCCACACTGGGAACAGAACCCAGGCGACCCGGCTTCTAGTCTGCCACCCTCCCTGCTCCATCACACTGCCCGCTTTCTCCATTCCCAACTCCTCTGCTCTCGCCCTGTGCGAAGCCCAAATTCCACCGCCCGGGCCTGTCAAGACGAAGGTTGCCCAGGGACGTTTCTCCAGATCGGATGCTGCTCCCGCACCAGCTTGCGTGTTCAGGGAGTGCTAAGGCGTGGGGCTCAGTGCCAGGGGAGCCATGCTGGCTAGCCCAGCCTGGAGTCACAGCTCATCAACCAACACCAGCTAGCACCAAGTATTCAGAGTCCATCAGTCCACCCGGGCCGACAGGTCCCCCACCCAGCCTGCCAGGGACGAGCAAACCTTGCAGGAAAGGCTCCTTTGCCCGCCCGCCCCCGCCATGCAGGATATTGGCATAACATCCTTGGTCATCTCTAGCTGGGAGCAGCAGGCTCATGCCAGCCCCTGACTCCTCAGATCTATTTCCAGCCTCCTCTGGGGTTTGTCTCTTGTACTTCGCTCTCCATCCTGGCCTGGGGGCAGCTCTCTCCTGCCCTCTGCCTGGAGAGCATCATTCACCCAGCTGCTCTAGCCCAGAGGTCACCAGAACGTCAGCTACTGGCCCCGGCCACGTGAGCCAGGCCTGTGCTTGTCTCTACCCCTTGTGGGCAGGCTGCTGGACTGCAGGGTCAGAGCACCGGTTTACGGGATGGATCTGGGTCCTGAAGGCCTCTGGGTTGAGGGATGGCAGTGATCAGAGAGGGGGAGAGAGACACCACTGGAAAGTCACACAGCCTCGGGAACTGTAGCGGTGAATCCCGGCCTTTTAGTGGCACATCAAGCTCGCTCGGGCCATCTCCTGGGCAGATATAGGAGGAGAACGCCCAGGTGGGGCAGCAGCGCTCCCTGCACGAAATGCTCATCATCAGCTGGGTCTCCCCTTTATCCAGGCTCAAGCCTCTTTGACTGGGTGGGAACACCGGACAGGGGAGCAACTTGGGGCTGGGCTAGGAATAGCAGGGGCCAGCCCGGCTCCTGACAGTCTCACCCCATCATTCCCAGTGCCCTCGGGAGCTGCAACAAGGGTGTGCAGGCTACGCCTGGTAGCTCCAAGACCCTCCCGCTAGGCACTGCTGCCCCATGGCACGGGAGACTCTGCTTAAAAGGAGGAGCAGCAGCAGCTGCCGCCCCTTCAGGACGTGGGACCATAGCAGTCTGCACTTTCACAGCCTCCGAGGCACGTGGCAATTAACCCTCTCTCACACAGTCCACCCACCCCACTCTAGCAGGGACCTTGGGGGGGGGGGTTGGGGGAAGAGAAGAGAGAACAATCCAACATCTCGTCCTGCATGGCACCCAGATGGAGCAGGAAATCAAAGCCCTGCTGTCATTCACCATCGATGGTACTTCAGTGGCCTGCATGGTTTCAACAACTGGCCTCGGCAGGCATTGCCCGCAGCTCCCCTCCAAAGGGGGGCTGGATTATCAAGCAGGGCTACAGATGAGGGGGGGCTGGCTAGCTAGGAGAGGAATCCTCGGGGGGAGGGGGAAATCACCATTCACACCTACCAGCCTGCTAGCAACAAGCCCATCGACACAGCCTGGGCTGGCAGCAGCCCCAATGTGTCACGCTGTAGGGAGGCTGCTAAGTGAAGTGCATTTGCTGGTCCCAGGTCACCCTCCTGCCCATCCCCGCACGCCGCCGTGTTTCCCCAAGAGCACGGAGAGCGTGGAAATGAGCTGTAATGGACCATGGCAACCTGGAGCAAGGACTCAGGAGACAGACACCCTCACAAGAAGGCAGGGGAAGGGGAGATGCCTTCTTCTCTAGCCACGTCCCAGTACAAAGACACTTGGGATTAGCATCCTCCCACACACTTGGGTGACTCTGGAGAGGACGGATGGTACGAACCCGGCCCACGCGCTGCCAAAGCCTTGCCATGCAGCAACCCACCTGCTACTCCAGTAGGGCATGTAAGCCTCACCACGGAGCCCCCGGGTGTATCCGCATGCCAGAGTCACAGCCTGGCTCCAGGAGCCAAAAGATCTGCACCCCATGTGGGCGGAGCTTGCAAAAACAACATTACCCCTTCCCTCCCCGACCTGATTCCTCTCTCCACCTGTAAACTTGCTGGGGGAGCAAGGGGGTTAAGCCTCCCCTAACCCCACAGCAGTAGGCTGAGGTCTCTGTATGAGGAGGGCTCAGCTCAGATGGTCTCACGCAGGGAAAATCGGTGCAAGCCATTTGCTCCTGGCTCGCTTTGCGAGGCTCTGCAGGGTTGCATGCCAGGGTGAGAGGGGTGCGCAGGGTCCCGGTCACCTTTGTGATTCACCGTCCGCAGGCACTGCTTGCTCTGGATGTCCCACAGCCGGACTGTTTCGTCGTGCGAGCCAGAGAGCAGCAGGCTGCCGTCCGTGGAGACGGACAGACAGGTCACCTGGTTCCTGTGGACAGAGGGACAGTGGTGAGAGACCACAAGGGCTTGACTGGCTGCTCGTGGCCAGTGGGTTACGGAGACACAGTGGGGGACACAGGGACTGGTCTGGAGGTAGAAGAGAGGAGCAGGGTTGAAGTGGCCACAGGCCACCCCACTGGCTGGCCACCTCCACTCCTGGTAGGTGGTCTGGGCTTGCAGTCCAACAGCTGCACAGTAGGATCCAAGCTCCTCCTTCCTGGGGTTGGAAGCACATCAAGGTGCCTCCTAGTTCCGCTCTCTGTCTAATGCAAGGAGCGGCACTGACGGCCGGGAGAGACCAGCATCCGCTGGGTCACCGCAGGGCATGCATGGGTGGGTGGGTTCCTTGGGACTCAAAGGCCTGGCTGGGGCACAGGCATGGAAAGAAAGGGGAGGTCACTAATCAGCTACTGACTCAGGAGGGGAGCAGCAGTGACAGGAGCCCCTCCGCCATACACCGCAATGCCTGCCCATCATTCACGGCAGACCCTGGGGTTGCTGAGGCTCCGCCCTCATCCCCTGACATGCCCTGCCCAGTCCCTGCATGCTCCACTGCCTCTTCTCCCCCATCTGAGGGGTTCAGCGGTGGTGCGAGCCCCTCGTCAGTGCTGTGCCAGGCCCAGCAGGCCAGGGACCCTGGACCTCCTGGCTCTGCAGATCACAACTGGGCAGAGAGTTGGTTTAACAACAAAAATCATGGAGCTGGCATGACACATGCTGTGCCTCTCTGCTTGTGGGAACAGACCCCACATGGCCCAGCTGCTCCCCGACCCCTGCTCTACCCACTCCCCTCCCAGACCAGGAGTCTGGAATGCCTGTTCCACTCTGCTGTCTAAACACGAGGCCACACCCCTCCCAGAGCTGGAAATAAAATCCAGGAGGGCCTCGCTCCAGGTCCTCTGTGCTAGCTACTGAATTGCACTCCCTTGCAGAACTGGGCACAGAACCCAGGAGCCCCGACTCTCAGGCTTCTCTCCACACCACTAGACTCTCCTGCTCCCAAGATCATTCCTGTTTGAAGAGCCAGCCCCGAGAACTCCCTGTCCTCGAGCAGTGGGGCAAATGGCTGCAGTACAACTGCCCTTCCCTGGGTTATTTCTCATCTGGAATTCATCTCTGTGTGCGGAGCTTGCGGCTCCCCGCAGAGCTGCAGCCTCCGCAGGCTCGCAAGAGCCATTGAGGGAAGAGGCGGCGGCTGCCTAAAATCACTGGCGTGGCCGAGTGCTAGGGAGCTGGCGCTGGGAGCAGGAGGGTGCCCTTAGAGACAGAGCAGCTGCAAGAGCCACGCCTCACCTGTGCCCCTTGAAGATCTTCCCATTCTCCCGCTCCGACTGGAAGGCTCGGTCTCTCTGAACAGGCTGCAAGAGCCAAGGAAGGAGAGAGAATTAAGAGGAGAATCAGCCTGGCCTCTTTTCCCCCGCGGAACTGTAAGTGCCTCTCTGAAGCTCTGCGCAAGGGGAGAGCACGACAGACAGAGCTGGATGTGAGCCCCTCCCAGATCTGACCCCAAAGCGGCCCCGAGCTCATTTCAGGCCTTGGGTTGCTGCAATCCTGTGTCGGGACGGCGAACACCACGACACAGTGCAGCATCCCCCGGGGTTACCGCATGGGACCAGTGCGGACAGGTGGCCGAGCAGGGGAGACGGAGCAGCCTTAGCGCCATAATCCATTGTCCCTTGAATCAGAGCTCTCCCCCTTGCAGGGCCGGCGGAGTCTGAGCCCGGGAAGTGGAGGCGAAGGGATGTGCCCTCCTCTGGAGCAGGGAGGGGGCCCAGCGGAGGGCGGGCAGACAGACACCCGCCCTGGGACACCCACCCGGCAGGACACCCGCCCAGGGTAGCCAGTGCCCAGTTGGCCCCTCCTAGGTCACTCACCCAGGCACAGAGGTCGACCTGAAAGATGGAACCGTCCATGCCACCACAGAACATGTGATATTCTGAGAGATCAAGGGTCACTGCCATGATGCCCACATCAAAGAGGACAGAGAGCAGGAGCTCTCCGGAGGAGATTTCCCAGAGCTGGGAGGGAGGGAGGGAGAGGGTGCAGGGAGAGAGAGAGAGACAGGACAGGCGGACAAAAGGGTTAATTGCTTAGGAACAACATTATTATAACATGGTGTCCTTCCTTAGCACCTTCCAGCAGGGCGTGTCTCAGCACTTCACCAGTATTCACTAACCCACCTGAAAATCAGAGCAGCATCGCCCCCATGCTACAGATGGGGAAACTGAGGCACAGACCCACCAGCCCAAGGTCACAAAGCAAGGCAAAGTAAGGAGTACTGACCAGCCCTATTCTCCTCTCTAGACAACACCACCCCAAGGATACAGATGGGACCCAATGCTGCTCAACACAGGATGGTTACCCAGCCCCCTGCCTTCCCCGTCCCTCTCCCTTCATCCACTTCCAATTAAGCGGCCTGATCGGTCCAGGCTCCCTCTTTTATCTATGCTCTAGAGCTGTCTTCCTTTCCCAGATGCTTTTCATTCTCCCCAGAGATCACCTTCCAAGAGGGGGAGCTTTGCCTAGCGGTCAGACCACAAGGCTGGGCATCCCAGCTGCATCGTAGCCTCACTGCATGGCTGGACAAGCCCCTTAACCTCCCTGCCTGTAAAACGGGGATTATATCCCATGGCAGCTTCCCCTCCTAGGGACCCACTGGGATATTTTAATGTCCCATGCTGGAGCTGACCAGGCTCAGAGGGGCTGGCCCCCATACTGCAGCCTGCATGGCTCGGTGCTCCTGCCAGATGGAGCGATTGCCAGCTGGGTACAACGCAGAGGGCTCTAACCAGGCCCCACCTCGGAGGGCAGGGAAGCTGCCAAGCACATGACGACATCAGTTTGAGGCGACAGAATAGCTGCTAATGTTCGGAGGAGAAACCCCATTAGGGCGGGCAGGTCTGAGTCACCGGAGAGTGTGCCAAGGACCTGAACTGACTGCAAACGGTACCCGGAGACTCAGCCACAGCCCCCGGAGAGAGGCTCGAGCTTAACCCTTTGGGAGCCGCACATGCCCTCCAGGGCACCTGTTCGTTTGGCCAGCCGCACGGAAACCACGGTCCAGGACGCCGGAGCTGCCAGCTCCAGCCCTTACCTTGGCCGTCTGGTCGAGGGAGGCGGTGGCTGCTCGAGCCAAGGGGCCCCCGAAGCCACAGGACAGGTCTGTTATGGGCAGGCTGTGTCGAGACCACACGTGGCGGGGCTCAGGGATCTGGGAGTGCTCCACCTGCAGCGTGCTGCCACGGGGAAGAACAGAGCAGGGGGGGGGGGGGAGGTTAATGCAGCAGGGACAGTTCAGCTGCCACACGAGGGAGCAAGGGCTGCGGTGGGGATGCAAGCTCCAGGGAGCAGCAATGCAGCTATGGGGAGAGCGAAGGCCCGGCTGCCAACACGCTGGAGAAGGGCCTGGGGCGATGGTTCACCGAGCGCTGGGGAGTAGTAACAGCGCCCCTCCAGCTCATTAAGCCAATGACAGTTTCCATGGGGAGCCCGGGCCAGTTTACCCTCCACCAAGAGGCCCTACAGGGATGCTCGTGGGAGCCGGGGAAGGGAACGAGTCTCTGGAAGAGCGAGCTTGGCATCGCGGAGATGCTATTTAACCTCAGCAAGGAGACCAAGATCAGAGCTTGCGACTGTCCCCAGCTCTGAAACGTCTCACCCGCAGCCTCCTTCCGCTTGCGCCACTTCGTGGAGCCGTCAACGGGCAGAAGTCCCCACCCTGAGACAAGAGCAGGGCTGGTGCACTCTGGCATCGCTCCACTGTCGCCCCCTTCCCCTCCCCACTGGACGTACTCAGATGTCCGGGGTGTTATAGACTCATCTGCCTCCCAAAAGCAGCCACAGCAGGATCCATGCCGTTTGCCACGTGTCCCCGGATGGGGTCGGGTTAGGACGCTCAGGGACGGCAGCCCAGTCTTGTTTCCTGGATCTCGGCGCAGCAGAAGCCATCCTGCGACCAGCAACTGCTACTCCCCTGCCCAATCCCAGCCCTCCCCTCCTCGGTGTCTGCACTAACGTAAAGACAATTCACGCACAGCTGCTGCGTGCCCAGCAGCCACGCAGGGTCAGACTTGTGGACACGGTTCCATGTTAATTACCGACATCCCCGCCCAGGGAGACTCACAGCCGCCAAGCGCTAGGCAGCTCCGGAGTGCGGAAGCGAGATACACGTCACGCAGCTCAGACCGCATGTCACACCCCTGCGCCCCTATGACGGGCAGGTGGGACCCAGCCCACAGTGGGGGGGGGGGGGACGTGCCAGTCAGCACCAAAGCAGGTGTCCCTGACACAGAGCAGGGAGAGGTCTCCTATACGCTCCGGTGGACTTCACCCCCTTTCCAGCCAGGGTAGGATCGCTCCCTGCTGTATGAAGCATTTTCTCCATTAGCCATAAGAATCCTTTGAGATCTCTGATGAAGGCACTAGAGAAGGGCAAACACTTTATGAACATTCACTTATCAGCCCTCCCTTGGGCAGCCCTGGTACATGGCTCTATTTAGCAGACGGGGACAACCATGACACCAGACAGGTGAAGGGACTTACCAAAGGTTCCTGGCAGGTCAGTGGCAGAGCTGGGAACACATGTCTACAACCCTGTCACCCTAGCCCCCTACTGTAATCACTAGACCACACTCCTCTTCCAGAGCTCAGAACTGAACCCAGGACCCCCCACTCTGCTCCCTGAGCTGGAAAGAGAACCAAGGAATCCTGGCCCCCACACTCCTGCTGTAGCTAACTAGACCAGGCTTCCCTTGAAGAATTGGGACTATAACCAGGAGTCCCGTCTCCATATACCCCCTGATCTAGCCACTAGACAATGCTCCCCTCAGAACTAGGAATAGAACCCAGGCATCCTGTCTCCCAGTCCTCCTTCACCCTCATTACTAGACAGCATTCCCCACTCAGAGCTAGGAAGAGAATTCCAGAGGTCTGACTCCTAGCCCATGTGACACCAACTCAAACACGCACATGGGGTTACTGCATGTGTCTGGTTACATGGAGTGTGCTCCTTGGGAAGGGCCCCTGACACAAGCAGTTTCCTCATACGCAGGAAATAGCACTTCCTGGCAAGGTGTATCCAACCCTGCATGGGTGTTTCTGCATGGGTGTTTTCCTGCCTGCTGCTCCTTGGTTTCTATACGTTCGCTTTAAAGGACAGAACATCCCTGGTGGAACAATCGAGTGCAACCCCTCACCAGGGAGAGAGCGAACAGCATCTGGCCCGGCTCCTACTCTGCAGCCAGAGGCTGCTGCGGCAGTGATTTGCAATTCCTTCCCCACATCGCGTGGGAGCTCCCCACAGCCACGGCTCCTGCACTGGGCTAGACGGCGTCCCCGGGTGGGAGAACACTAGGGTGGAAGATGCCCACGATTCCACTGCTCCCCAGCACCAGTGGATGGAGACCCAGCCCCCGCCCCGCAATGTGATGCTACCTGTAAAGGTTCCACACCAGGACCAGGCAGTCCTTACCCCCCGAGAGGAAGTGACTGCTGTCGTCAGTAAAGCAGAGGCATGTGAGGTCTTGGTAGTGTCGGTTCAGGATGGCGAGGAGGTTCCCGCTGGAGACCTGGAAAGCAAGAGAAAATGAACATGTGAAAGCCCCTAGACTTCCCAGCCCTGGGAGCCCGGCTTCCTGCTCTCAGTCCTTACTGGCCTTGGAGCAGCATCTAAGAACCCCAATCAAGACCCCAGTGAGCTAGGTGCTGTACAGCCAAGCAGCAAAGAGGACAGTCCCTGCCCCAGGGAGCACACAGGCAGGATGCAACAGGTAAACGAAAGAGAGAAACAGTGTGTGTGCACGCACAGCTGACCTTGCTTAGTTCATCTGTGGAGTTGAACTGGACCATGGCAGCTCGATGAGCTGGTATTTCACTTCTGGAGGCTGCCCTCCTGCACTCCCCAAACTAACCTGTCATTTTAAAAGGGCCATTCGCCCCCAGGGTTGCAAAGAGACCCTCTGAAACGTGCCCGAGTGTAATCGACGCAGCGACGTCTGCAGACAGCTTGAAACAAGAGTTTAGAGAGGTGAGAACTGTCCCCGTTAAGCTCAGCTGGATTAGACTCCGGAACCTACTGAGGTCAGTTAATATATCAACATTGTTACCTCTTTCTCTACAGATCAAATGACAAAGAAACAGAAACTAACATATGATTCCCCCGCCACCACTAGCTTTTCTCCTTCGTTTATTGCCAATAAAGTTGGAGATTCAGGGCCCTGGGATGTTCCCACCAAGAATGGCCATGCCTCTAAAAATACACAAGTTCATTTTCCTGAGATCTAAATATCAATGCAGCTGAAAGAGGTGTTTTCTGATCAAGATTATTAGACATTTTTATTGCACATAAAATAGTAGGCGATGGGGCAAGGGTGCATCTCAGAGTTACCATTACTGTCCCTCTGGGTTAGGCTCCCCAAAGAATAAGTTGCACCCCAACCCTGGTTCCCTCTCCTTTGAGGGGGCAGTGGATGTCAGGAAGGAATTCCCCCTGCTCAGATTCTCTCTGAACTCATCCAGGCACAGCTAATTACCCATAAGGCTGGAGGAGCTGCGAGCCCACACAGGGATGCCGGACAAACAGATTTCTGGGGACATAAAGAGGGCAGCTGCTGGGATGAAATACTCGCTTCACTCCCTCGCTCTCATTAAGTCCAGGTGAAAGGCCATCAAGGGCAGAGCCCTGACTGGGGCTTGGCGGAAACAGGATTTCAAAGAAACCGGGCATCAGCAGTTTTGTTCCTCTTCAGGGTGGAATTATTCTGCTTTCGCGGGCTGGCACGAGGGGGAAAGCCAAGCAGAGCTGTGCATCCACATAGTGAGGAACAGGTTCTGCTCTGGGTGACAGAGGGCTCAAGTTGAAGGGCTGGGAAGGATCGATCTTTCTAGGTACTTACCTGGCTCACAATCCTTAATGTACTGATTCTGCAGCAGGGCAGTGCTGCCGTTACCCCTGTTTTACAGATGGGAAACAGACACAGAAAAGAGAAGTGACTTGCCCAAGGTCATGCAGGAAGCCTGTGATGGAACTGAAGCTGGATCTCCCAAGACCTAGATTAGGCTAGCCCAGTGGTTAGGGCTCGCCTCTCTCTCTGGGTGGCTTAGACAGCCCAGCATCAGGTGTGAAACGCTATTCTCCCTGGGACTGGAGGGTCCATGCCCTGCTCAACCCTTCAAGGCAGGTGAACCGAGCACCATGTAGCCCATTGCGTTCTGGTGTCTGACGCGCCCTTACAAACCAAGATCCATTTGTTTTGCCTGCACATTAGAGCGCATACTTTTCATGGCAGTTTGTCCCCTGGTGTTTCTCCCCTACGCTGCTGTCTGTTGTGCTGGACTTGGCTCCACCTGAGAGGTGGCTGCATTTCAGCCAAGCTCCGTGCTCATCAGCATAAAGTTCTTTGGGATGCTCTGGGAGAAATGGTTGTTCAAGGTATGCCCTCACACCTTGTGCTTTTCTTGCTGAAAGGGGACACTATCTGGGGGCCTGACAGGGAGGGAGCCACACAGAAGAGACAGATCCAGTTTCCAACTTGCTTTCAGATTTCTGCATAAAAAGAAGCCAAGCCATGATGAAGTGGAGAATAGATGGACTTGCCGTTAAGGCACGAGACTCCTGGGTTCCATTCCCAGCTCTGGTTCTGTGCGGCCTCAGAAAAATCCCCTCCCCGTACCTCAGTTTCTCCATCTACATGATGAAGGAAAGACACTTTCCTATCTATCGGGGGTGGGGAGCGGTTTGTCAGGTGGAGTTAGTGGGTGCAAAGCATTTTGAGAGCACTGGTTGGAAAGGGCAGTATTTAGTCAATACAGCCAGGTAGAGAGCAGGTCACATCTTTCACAGAGGTCCTGTGCGCCCAGCATTCCCGACTCAGCACTTTGACTGAATTATTTTTATTGTACCACAAGCACATTTTAAAAGCAAAAAATCTGATAAATAAATATACAGCTGCTCAGACAACGAGGCTCAGAAACATCCCCTGGGATTGAGAGCTCTACAAGGTAGACGCTGTGCAGTTTAGCTCTGGGGCTTAGACCAAGTCGGGTCGCTTCCTAGGGCAAATAAGAGTTTAGCAGTTTTGGGCCTGGCATAACTACTACTAAAAAACGCTGCAATCATCAACACTTAAGGACTGAAAGAATTTTGAATTCAAAGATCTCAAAGCTCCTAACACGGGCAGGCCAGCAGCATGATCCTCATTTTGACAACGGGGAAACGGAGGCACAAAGAGACAGGCTATGCCAAGGTCATCCAGCAAGTCAGCGGGCAGAGCTGGGAATAAAACCCAGGAGTCCTGACTCTTGACCCAGCTTATCCGGTCAACACTCAGACTGTCGGGATGATCAAAATGATTATAGATTTCCCTTTAAGCTGTACCCCTACACAACACCTCCTACCAACCACTTTGGGTAGCTTCAGCTCAGAGCCCAAGGATGGAATGGGCCACAGGAAAATAAGCTCCCCTCTCACCTCTGATCCTGGGATGATCAGAGCCAGCCTGCACCTGTCACCAGCCCTAACTTCCCATACAAATATTAAGGGGGGGGGGCAGGAGTACTCACCAGAGAGGAGACCCAGCACCCTCTCATAGGGCTGCCTGTCGGGGCCCCTTTCTCCCCTTACATACAACATGGGGAAGTATCTGCCCACATAACTGGCTACGAAGCCCCAAAGTGTACCTGACAGCTTCTCACAGCCTTATGCAATAAAGCAAATGCCCTGCTAGAAAGGCAGCCTCTGCCCCCTTGTGGCACTTTCTTGTAACTACACAAAGGTGAAAAGGAGTACTTGTGGCACCTTAGAGACTAACCAATTTATTTGAGCATGAGCTTTCGTGAGCTACAGCTCACTTCATCAGATGAAGTGCATCTGATGAAGTGAGCTGTAGCTCACGAAAGCTCATGCTCAAATAAATTGGTTAGTCTCTAAGGTGCCACAAGTCCTCCTTTTCTTTTTGCGAATACAGACTAACACGGCTGTTCCTCTGAAACCTACACAAAGGTGGTTTCCAAAGCCCACAAGAGCGAAGGAGGAGGAATTCCTAAAATATTTGTAACTGGCCTAGAAAGTCCTCAGCCAGTCAGAGCACAGATAACGTGTAATTACTGATGCCTAATGGGATGGGACTTTTCAGTAACTGGACCGTATGCAAATCTCTGCATTTGGATTGGTTGCTGTCCCTGGAACTTAGTGCCAATTGACAAACACGTGCCTCAGTTTCTCCCCCTCAAGGACTGCTGGGTCCTTGTGCCTCCTTGGCGATTAACTGGGTTAAAAAAAAAAAAAAAAAAAATTTAAGTCCCAAAAATATTTAGTGAAACTTTCAAGCTGGCTCCCAGCTTAGCAGACAGTTCTGTGCCCATAACACACGGCACTCTTGGTTTTTGCACCTGCAGTGACTTGCCAGGGAAAAGGCATGAATGAATCAGAAGGCATAGAATGAAGGCCTAGGGCCTGTCTGAAGAATCAGACCCTTGGCACCAGATATTTCAGTTCACCGTTTCCTGAGCTAATGCACACCTTGGCCTTTGGAGGCAGAGCATGACCTAGTGGTTAGTGCAGGAGCTAGGCCTCCTGGCATGTACTGAAGACCCTATCATTGATTCATGGTATTACCCTGGGCAAGCCCCCAACTCAATGTCTTAGCTCACAAATGGGTGTAATAGCCGCCCCCCCAGATCCCAGGAGCACTGCGGAGTCTCATTAATAAAGTGTTTTGGATGAAAGGCATTCAAGAGCTCAGGCTGTGTTCATTTTGCCTACAACACAAGCTATCATCTATATAACCAAAGTACCAACGAGAAGTCGTCTCTTTATTAAGTGCCAACATGCTGAGATTTGTACTCAACCGACAGTCCTTGCTCCTATGGGAAATGAAAGACGTAAACTGCACAATCATGCTCATTATAACAAATATTTTATTTTTCCAATATCCTATTGAACGAGCTTACTTCACTGCAATGATGTCAGCTGTTTACTGGGGGTTCTTTACCGATATGTGGTCTCATTTCTAACTCAACAGCCTATGCGGCTGCTTCCATGCAGCCCTAAGATTTCTTACCTCCCACAGATAGATGCTCTCAGCAATGCCTGCTAGGATGTAGAGACCATTAGGGGAAGCTGTCAGGCAAGTCACCAGCCCAGGGCAGATGATCTTCTGCTGGAGTTGATCCTAGGAGTACAAAGAATGCAAGGGGGCATCAGCACTTAGTGTGTGGGTAGAGATTCACTGGGGGTGAGATAGGAACTGGGAAGAGGAATTAAGCCCCAGATTTAACTCCAGTCCAGGCTGTTGGTGTATTCTGATCAAAGAGATGAAACAATGGACAAAACATGAATTCACTGTTGCTTTGTAAATATGTAAAATATGTAGCTAGAACAAAAGAGATTGCAGGAAAGCAAGTGATGTTCAATGGCATATGTGCAGTGTGGCCAACTCATAATCTGTGTAGAGATTGGGTCCTAAAAATTAATGCACCAGTCATAAAAGGTGTAGTACAATGTAAAATATAAGGTGGATGTGGCAGTCTGCTTTCAAATGTGTACATAAGCTAATTAATACTTTTATATTTTAGATGTGTGGTATACCTTGCATCTACACTATGTGTAAGTTTAATCAGCTCCGGGTTGACATAATTGTATGTCAACAAAAAGCAGTAAAAAGTTCAAAGTCAAGCTGAATTCTTAATTTACTTGGTTTTTTTTTTTTTTTTTTTTTTTTTTAAGTCTTGGATAAGGTCTCAGAGGCTACCCCAACATATGCCATAACAGGGAAACCATTGCTAACAATATCTGATTCTCACTGAGCCTCTCAACATTTAACAAGTGTCCTTAATACATGGTTGGTTTCTCCGCCTGTACCACCGGAGTTTGCAGATGAAACAGAGAAAGGACAGAGGTGAGAAACGAGCAGAGTAGGAAGATGGAGCAGCACAATGAAGCAGGAGGAAGGTGAAGGACAGACAAAGGCACTCTCCACACTGTGGTTAAAATTGTGCTAGCAACAAGATTGCTAGGGATTTTGCTGGTTTGGTTTCAACTACCAAAGGGGTGAGAGATTCAGCTAAAAAGAAATTTAAACAGATTTTGGTTTCCCTTCTATCCTACCCCACAAGGTTTCTGCCACTGGAGGCGGAAGGGGTGTTGAAAGGAAAGGGATTTGAATACAATTCTGCTCCATTGATGGGGAATCCTGGAGGCTCAGCAGAAAGCAGCCCAGAGGGTAAGGAGATCATAGAAAAATTAAAAAACCAAAATAATCCGAGCCCACCGATTGATGAATGGGTCTAATGCTGCCTCCTGGTGGATGCTCTTCTCTAGCTCTGTGGAGTAAGGGAGCCGATGGAAGCGCAATAAACCCTGGGATGGGAGCGAGGAAGTGGCTGTGCATGAAGATATTTGGGCTGGTTGATATCGTGCTCTACAGCTCAGCTGAATGGGAGTGACAAAGGACAGGAGACTCCAGATTTGGGGCAGAGGGTTAGGCCTGTGACATTCGGCTGTCTCATCCTGAAGGCTGATGAACATAAACACAACCTGCAGCCAGCTGGGGCTTTTCTGTGCGGGCTGGTGAAGTGGGGGGCAGCTAGCTTTGAGCAAGTGGAGCCCACATTTTTGGCTGGAGTGCAAGAGGCAGAGAGTGGAAGTTGGGGGACAGGAGTCCTCAGGCTCAGGAGAAATCTCTCTGGTACGTTTCACTGCAACTCCCACACACCGGAGAACTCTCCAGCTATGCTGGGAATTATCAGGGGTCCCTGGGATGCCCCATGGTGGCAGTCCCCAATACATTTTTCCACAGCTCTCCTGGGGATGTGGAGCAGATCCCAGCTTCGGGGAGCCCAGAGGAACCCCAGGCATCCTTCTCTAAAACTTCTGAGGGGGACAGGGTGGAGAGACTGCTGTTTTTCTCAGGGTGCCTGGCCCTGGTCCCAGGCTGCCTGGAGGCTTTCTGCACACCTTCAGCACACTGTGTGGGAGGTGGGGCTCTTGGGCTCTTTCCTGGGGTGAGTCCCTGGTATCAGGGAGCCAACCAGAAACAGGGAGAAGGGATGTCCTTACTGTCTTTCATGACCACTCATCCCAACGCACTGGATGGGGGGGGGGGTCCAAATGGGGGCTTCCTGACCCAGAAGGTTCTTCAGGATCTTTTGAAGAAGTCCCAGTCCAGAGGAAGTGGGGGGGGGGGCAGGGGTTGCCCGTGCTCAAGCAGAGCTCTCTGTGGGGAGCTGCCACTTGCTGGATAAGGCGTCTGGAAATGGGGTGTCTCTGGGGCTGCTCCTGCCCCATGAAGGCTTCCACGGCCACTTGCTGGGGTTTCTTAGGAGCTTCACTTGCTTGGGGGGGGGGGGGCTGAGCTTGGAGATGGGCTGCGGGGCGGCACCAGAGGGGGACTCTGAAGTGGGCCCCTGACTGTGGGGAAGAGCTGGGTGGGGGGAGGGGTGGCAGGGAAGGGCTCTGAGGGGATCGGGTCCCGGAGGGGGGGGCGCTGAGGCGGGCGCCGGGGGGGGGGTGAGGCCCGAGACGAGGGGGCTGATCGGGCCCTGGGGGTGGTGTCCCGAGGGGGGGAGGGTGTCCCGAGGGGGCTCCGGGGGAGGGGGGGGTCCCGGTACCTTTCTCTGCAGCTCCCACACGTTGATGTAGCCCTTGCCCAGCTGCGCCCCCAGCAGGTGCTCCCCGCCCAGCAGCGCCAGGCCCCGCGCCCCGCTGTTGCCGCCCCGGTAGCCGGGGAGCGCGGAGCCCGAGTGCAGCTCCCACACCGAGCAATTGCTCAGCGGCCCGGCGGCGTCCGTCACCAGCGCCACCTCCATGGGCGCCGCCATCTTCTCCGGTCCGCCCAGGCCGACGAGGGCGCCGCCGGCCTAAGAGCGGCCGCCGCTTGACAACGAGGCGCCGTCCGGCCAAAAGAAAGGGTGGCTCCGGCGCCTCCCTTCGCAGGAGCTGCGTCCGCCCACGTGCGGCTAGAAGCTAAGCAGGATGCAGCCGGTCCCAGCGGTGGATGGGAGACCCAGCGGCTGCGATGGGTTCCCCCAGTAGGAGGCGTTCTCTTGAAGTTAGTCTGATTTCAATGCGCTGGGGGGTGCTGCAGGCTCAGGAGGGGGTGCCGTGCGGCATGGGGTGGGGGCTCTCCTCTCCCTGTCACTGCAGAGCACGGCACCCCAGCGCTGCAGGAAGCTGGGGGGTGACTCAGCTGGGAACACGGCCCAGGCCTAGTGATGCCATTCTTCAGGGAGTGGAGTGGTTGATGCTGCAGGGGGTGCTCTGCATTTGCACAATTTGACTTGTTTGGTGGGCGTCCCTGGGCCAAGCTCTTCCACGACTGTAGCAAGTCAGGGTTGATAAACTTAACTTCCACGGCTGGATAAAAGGGGTGGGTGCATTTCAGGAGAAGGCTGGGCCGGGACCGCACTAAGGTGGATTCCTGCAGATCCCTAGTGTAACTAACTCACTGCTGTTCCAAGGGAGAGCCTGGGATCCCTGAATTTATCTTGTGAATTCCTACGCTAGTTTGCCTGCATCGGGGCTAATGTTCCATCCACCTCCTCCCCAGCCAATCAATCTTCCTCCCCCTTTTTTTCCCTGCAGGCATCAGGATTTATTGACTACTGCCCACTGCCTTGTTTCACAGGTCAGAGGTCGCTCGCTCAGCCAGACCCTGAAGCTAAATCATATGAAGATGCAAGTGACCTTTACCTGGAATGAAGAGAGGCCGGTTGTGGAAATTGTGGGACAGGAAAGAGTGTGAACTTCCCTTAATGGTTTCAACACTCGCGTGTATCAGGTTTCTCTTGCCGATTAAGACAAAGGCCTCCCCAATGTAATAATAATCCTCTTTTAAATACTTTACAAACCATGATCTTGCAAGTCCTCTGCAGGCAGCATGAGTCTCAGAGTGGAGGGTTTGCTGCCATATATATCCAGCACCTACAGAAACACAGCCATGCGTGGGGTGCAGGGTAAGAGCCAATGCACAGCCCAATGAACAGCGGTAGTGGCAGGAGGTGGAAATTTTGGCTGGGGTCCTAAGGCAAATGGAACCTGCCGAGGGCTCATCAGTGTCACACACAACTCTGGGACCTTTAGAGCGTGCAAGGCTTTCATGTGAGACTCTAAACGCGAGGCCCTGTCTGCCCTGCATGGACGTTGCAGAACCGACGGGGCTTTGTGGAAGGTTTGTCCTGGTGTCTTTGGCTCAAGCTTCCCCTCCCTTTGCTGTCAGGGAGCATGTTTCATGGGGGGGGGGGGCTGCATTTCAGTGGTGCTGTGTGGCTGTATTGTGTGCTAAGGGATCCTTCAGGAAGAGGAGGGCTCCCTAGGAATGGGAGCTATTGAGCGGTAGAGCTGAAAGCCTTGTACAAAGATGGGTCAGTATCACTATCTCCGTTAGATGGGAAAAGGGAAGTGCAGGAGGTGAAGTGACTTGCCCAAGGCTACACAATGAAGGCAGTGGCGTAGGGGGTAGGTTAAATTCTTGCCACAGGAATAAACCGAGTTGCCTCTGGAGCTTGGTGGCTGCTGCCCCTGATTAGCCCACCAGGCGGTGTTACAAGGTGAGCTCCAGCCCTCAGCCCCACCCTGTCCCTATAGCTCTGGGGATGGCAGCAAGGGGCTGAGTGCAGCATTTGGACTCCTTGGTGGCTGGAATCCTCCCCTGCTTCTGGATAGCTGCAGTGCCTGCCGATAGGACTCTACACTGAGCACAGATGGGCTGGAGTGGCCTCAGGTCGCCCAGATCAAGACTCTCTGCCAGCTGGATCGTCCTGCCCTACAGTCCCCCTTGGGAGCTGACCCCTCTCACACACACCCTCAGGCCTTTTGAACGAGAATCAGCTCCCTGCTAGCCCACAGTTCCAACTCTTACAGTCAGGATTTCACTCGCTATTTCAATTCTCTAGGGGTTCTGGGCAATTTCTATAGAACCCTCTTGGATTCCTCCCTATTGGGTTTGACTGGGCCCGTCCTTAAGGAAATCACCCAACAGCACCAGCTGAGGCCTTGAAGAGAAAAAAGGACAAGCACCAAATTGGAGAGATTAGTAGGGACCCCCAGCTGGATTGGGTCCCCATTGAGATCAGGGCTGGAGCCTGGGAAAGGAAGGGTGAAGAGGTGGCATGGAAGGAACTTTCAGGGAAACCTTCTGTGTAGCTTTCCTCTGTGAGGGAGGCAGCCCGATCAGCAATTAGAGCAATAAACGGTGAGCCAGGACTCCTGGGTTCTATTCCCAGCTCTGACACTGCAGTCCAGGGGCTAGAGAAGGGAACTGGGAGCCAGGACTCCTGGGTTAAATTCCACTGCTGACCTGCTGTGGGGCTCAGGTCACCTCACTTCTGTGGGCCTCTGTCCCTTCCCTACCTGTGTAAAATGAAGCCCTAATCCAATTGTTTGCAAAGCCCTTTGAGAGCCACAGCTAAGTGCAGTCTTATCCCACCCTCCCTGGGTGCTCTTCACCCCCATACCCCACTCTGTGCCTGCTATAAAAGCCAGGGGCTCAGCCCCAGGGAAGGGATGAAGTTACCGTGCCCAAATAAAGGGGGAAGGAGAGTAGCTTGAGTGACAGAGCCCAGCAGATAGGCCCAGTTTGGTTCAGCCCAACCCAGCCTCCTCCTGTGCAAGGTGGATGGGAATTGCAGGATATTAACGGATGCTCCCAGCAAAGCAACCTAAAGCTTTATGGAGCTATGGCCAAGGAGGGACAGGACTAGCTCTTGCTTCCCTGGCAGTGGACTGGCCTGCAGAGTCCAAAGGGGAATCCCGCCCATGCCAGCCCCCCTCAACCCCCCCAGCTGCAGGGATCCACGCTTTCAGAGGGCTCCTTCCCAGCACAGCTTCGTAGGAGTCAGCCAGGGAGGGTGGGATGGGGAGGAGGCTGGAGGGATTTGAGCATGAAGGCAGTAGGTTGGTGGGTGCAAAGACCAGCTGGAGGAGTTGGGGGTCCTTTTCCAAGCAGAGGGAGGCAGGGGCCAGGGGGAGGGGAGAAGCTGATGTAACTTGCAGCATGTTACAAGTCCCATCGGGCGTTAAGCACATATGTGCATTAGTGCTTCCCCGGATCAGGGCCCCAGTGACCACCCAATGGGGAGCCTAAGGAATTGTCCCAGGACAGTCGCCTGCAGATCTCCAGCGCTGTCTGCCGACCCCCTGTCTCCTTGTCAGTGTTGTCAACCCCAGGCGTTCCAAAATCACGCCAGCCCCGCCTGCAAAACCATGAGAATAGCGGAAAAAAACAACACGGTTTGGCAGGCTTTCTGAGCCTCCCTTCCACGCTCTTCTCCACAGCCAGTAGGGCGAGGCCCTGCGGGGGGGATGGGGGGGTGGGTTTGTAATTGGAAGTGGAAATTCTCACAGAGAAGCTGAGGGTTTAAGAGACCCTCCCTGTCCCCAAACATTGCAAGACTTCATAGACACTACGACCCGAAAGACCCATCCTATGATCAGCTAGGCAGCCCTCCGGCAGAGCCATACCCAGTTATTTCTGAATCAAACCCACGGCTTCGCTTTTTGCTCTAGTGTATCTGTTGGAAAGGGATCCACCTGCTAGTCACTGCTGCCCAGCACGGTTTCCTTGTACTCACTGTCTGTAGCAACCTGTTGTCTCTGCCCTTATGCTGAGATTGGAAGTTCTTGGAGGCAGGGACCGGCGCTTTGTTCTGTCTTTGTACCGTATCTAGCGCATTGTACCTGGCATCCTAGTTCATGATGAGAGCTACTAGGTGCCACCATAATATACCTAATAATATACAGGGCCCAGCACAAAGGGGATGGGCTCCTAGGCGCTACCGTAATACAACTAATAACCCAGCGGCAACCCTGCTTCTTTTTACAAGAGATTTCTCCGAATGCAGAGGGACCCTGTGGATAAAGACCGGGCAACACAAGAAAGAAATCAGATGAGGATTTTAAAAGTCAGATTTTTGTTTTTGTTTTTAATATTTCATCAACTTTACAGGGTTACAATTGTCTTAAATATTCTGAAGTTTAAATACAATCTGTATAATAATGTTATTATAAAATGTAAACTTTCAGTGTTTTTATTTTATTTTATTTAATAATCACAAAGTTTTAATACCTGAATGTCTGCAAAACTGAAATATTTCACCGCGGGATTCCCAGGACAGGCAGCCTGAGGCCCGCCGTTATCAGAGGTAGAATGTGGTTTTTATTCTTTTTTTTGTGGTTTTTTTTTTTTTTTTACCTGAGTTAAGCTATGCATGCTGTATAACTGCATCTGCAGCGGTGTTCATTCCTTTTGCCTTTCAAACCCCAGAGAAACTGGGTTTTTTCAATCGATATGCAAAAAGGAAAAAAAGCCGAATGTAATATGCTTCCCCCCGAAAAATCAAAAAACCCAACCAAAAAAATTGGTGGGGGGGTGGTGGTGAGGAGAGGAATAAAACAGGGACTGTACAAATGCAAAACCTACTAAAAATCTAAACACCCCCCCCCCCGCCCCAGCACAAAAACCAGTGACAAAGAGTTCTCTGGGGGGCCATCCCGCAGGATTTCTCTTTGAAGGTAGTTAGGCAGGCCCTAAAACAGCACGTTCTAGTCCTAGCGGCAAGCGCTCCATGGCATCCTCCTAGCCAGACCTTCAGAACTGAGCAGGTGGGCTCAGCAGAACTCTGGGCTAGTGGGGATTTGGGGGCCAGAGTTAAGGGGATGGGGGTGGGGAATGGCTCTTGGGCTGTCCAGTGTTTGGCATGCGGAGGTGCCCTGTGGCTTGTCTGCACCTCCAGCCCCTGCATCCACCCCCCCCGGATGTGTGGCCTGCTCAGGGGCTGCTGGTAGAAGCCGTGGCAGCCCAGAGAGTTGCACTCCCACCGGTGAGGTACTGTGGGAGGTGAGCCCTTTCCACACGCTAGCTGTCCCCGGTGTGGAACTTGAGGGTCCTCCTTGGGCACACACCCATGCAGCCCCGAGGCA